ACTTTTTGGCTCTAAGTTTTGCTCAGATAGCATCTCCCAGTGGAAGTTCAGAATATGAAACATTTATGCCTGTTCTTGAAGCCCTTAAGCAGAAAGCCAATGAAAATCCTGCCTGTATAAAACTGAAGGAGGGAGCAATATATTTTAGCTTTAGGCAAAAAGAACAGTTTCTAACATATGTTGCAAAATGAAAATAAGAAAAAAAAAAGTAGTTGGGGACAATCATGGGCACTTCTGCTAGGAAGCAGAGTTCTAGATTTATACCTCTAAATTTACAAAGAGTTATGCAGAGTTTTAGCTACGTAATTCTTTGAAAAATGGTAGCCATGCTGATAAACTGAAACATAGAGGGGATTAGTGTACAAAAACCTGAGAGTTGACTACATAGCCTATTGCTTTAAGATCACTGTAAATATCAACTGGAAATATGTACTAATTCATAAGTTATTACTGTGTTAGTTTCATAGGTACAGTAGCATGACTATTCTTAGTTCTGTTGAGTTTAACGAACTTTACTTTGTATTCCTCTGTGAATGCTCTGAATGCTGCAAGAAAAAAAGCACAACGGTATTTTTTCAAGTTCTCTTGGCGCGGTAGCAGTGTCTTCACTATTGTTCAATCCTACCAAATTCGCAGCATTTCATTATAAAATGCTATGTTAACAACATATCTTTCTTTAAAAGAACTGTCACTAGGAGATACGAGCATATGTGATAAGTCTTGTCTAATGTCATTCATCTGCCTTTACAAAATGCCCCGGACATTTTATGGGAGACTCTGCTGCTTTTGCTTCATTCATTGTTTGTACTTAGGGACGGGGTAGGGAAATAGAGGGCATTTTGCAATGGTAATTGCATCAAACATGCTTTGTTTCATTATTATTGTATCTGTTAGAAACATTTTGATTTAATTTCTTTCTGTAGATAAGACTGTTTGACAATAGCTTTTTCACCTAACCATCTTATCCCATTAGAATAATAACTTCTCACATTTAATGGTATTTGTATCAATGTCTCCATATCAGCTGCATTTTAACTTCATTAAAAAAGGAAATGTGATTATTATTTTTCATTATATTAGATTTTGCTGATCAACTAAATATTTCGGCACCAATCAACATATTAATATGCATGTTGTAGTCTGTACAATTGTTCAACATCAAAATACCTGTTTAATTTATGTCAAATGTCTGTAAAATAAATGCATTGTTCTCCATTTCAGTCTGATAGAATAAGAGGATAGTAAATAAATGTGTAAATGAATCATCTGTGTCTCATTTCAGTTCTCTGCATGAAACCACTTTACATTGAACATTGCATATATACCAAAACAATAATCCATAGTGTCTTTAGACTTCCTTAATTGACAATGTTATACAAGGCTCCCAGGCAGACAGTGTGTAAAGAAATAACGTATATGGCTATGCAAATAAAGTCAGAATCCATTATTTTTCTAAAAATTAAATACAGTGCTTCCATGCCTTTTGTCAGCTCTGTACAACTACTGTTTGCACCGTCACAAATACAAGACCTCAAATCACTTTACAAGGCCATGTAAATACTACTGCCTGTGGGATGGAAAGCAGAAGCGTGGAAAGATTTAACTTCTTTATTTTTTAATTTTTTTTTAGAATATGCAAGCCGAGGTCTCTCAGCCTAATATTTAGGAGCAACATTTCTTTAGGAGCAATTATTATTATTTACAACAAGCTCTTGTTTAGCTTACTAGTAAGCAACAAACTACTCCGACCTCAGGAATTTTTGCTTAAGGTGGACTGATTACTTTCTAGCAGAAAAACTCCAAGAGAAAGCAGGTTTTGTTTCCTTCAAGATGAATAATGGAAAAAACTAATCTTTTTATGTGCAAAGGTAGCAAAAATAAAGCATCTGCATGGTTCAGAAAATAAGGAATATGATTTTTCATCTTCAAAAAAGAAAGCTGTTTTTTCCATTTCTATATCTGAACTGTAATACAATGAAATAAAAATGCAGGACCAAACCCTGCCCTTTGGTGAGCATGCTGATTACAGCTTTTATGAGGCAGCGTAGAGGCACAGTTTGGGTTTACAACCCCATTCATTTGTGCTATACATACACCAAGGTGCAGTTTGTTGCACTTCAGAAGGTTTTTCAGCTTTTAATCTATGGGTTTCCTCTCAATACATGTAGCACTGCTCATAAATCTAAATTTGTTTCATCCTCTGTTCTTCTTTAAATATATTCCAGACTCTCTTTCCTTAAAGGCAAAACCCACATCCTTCGTATTTCTTCTCCCAGTCTCTCCTTTTTGGCATTCATCTGAGTCATTGCATTTGAAATAGAATAGTTTGTGTTTTATGTAATACTGACTGTACAAGCTGTCTGCAGCTGCGCGTCCATTCACAGTGCCTGAAAGCACCTACAGAAATACAACTCTCTCTGCATATTCCGGCTGCACTCACACTCTGTTCTGGAGCAAGGCCTGAGTCTTGTGCAAGCTACTTGATCCCCCAAAATAAAGTCTAAGCCACAGAGTTTAGAAACGCAAGGAGCACATTTTCCAATAATTGTTGAGTTTACATGGGCAAGGAAGCAGGATATACCAGGAGAGTAGTTTGGACAAGGCTAAAAATATCAAGCACTGAGATTAAGAAAGCTTTGAATTCTGTCTGTTTCACCTTTTTCTGTCTCATCCTTTCTCTCACTTTTTTTCTTGTGGAATTCATTTTAAAAGAAGGTCTAGCACCCTAAAAAGTGTTTTTATGTCCATATTAGCATTGATGGTTATTCATTGTATCTTATTCCAACTCCACAGCAGCCCAAGAAAACAATGATCTTGCTGCTGGCAAGAAAAGACAAGGCAAGGGAAGTCCCCTACTTTGATGGTGTAATTTGACCTATGGCTGGAAACAAATACTGCTAGAAAACAGGCAAACTCTTTTATGCTAAGCTGCAGATGTGCTATGTGGCAAGACTACTGTGGCAATATGTGCTATGTGGCACGTGCTATGTGGCAATACTTCCTAGAGGAAGTATTCTTAGCAGCTCCAGAACAGAGCAGGCATAGAGATCACACTGGCGAAGTACTGAAGTTCTAGCAGGGTAGGGTAAAAGTGCCCATCCCTAATCTATTCGGTAGGGAAACTTGAGGTTATTCTAGTGTATGAGGAAAAAAGAAAAACTGAAGAGTCAGGATATCATTACATTAAAACTTCATGTACTCTACAATTTTATTATGAAGTCTTCACCATCTACTGCTGAGTCTTTGAATGTAAATTTTCACTGAGGGTAGGAAAAAAAAAACAAAGATGAGCAAAAACTGTCCTGATCTTTTTATAGTCTTAGGGCGGATGTCTATTCTTCTATCTGCTTGTTTTAAAAAACAAAGTGAACCCAACTCGGTTCTCCCAAAGCCATTAACTGTTGATATTCAGCATCCTGCAAGAGGCGCTGATCAACCTGAAAACTGATCATAAATAGCTAACATCTATGAAAGCTACAGCTGCCGTATCTGCACTGGGATTTTTCATATTTTGTCATTATGTGTTAATAAAATCCTGTTGTTGAATAAGATACTATGAGCCAATGAAATTTGAAAGCCTTTAGGAGAAGTTTTAAGTGCCTAAAGGATTCGGATTCAAAGTTGAATTCTACACTTAAGAAATTCATTCTTTCCAACTCAGAGTTACTGATGTTTGATAGCACTATACTACACACTACTAATAGACGCTATTACCCTGATTATGAGAAAACTCGTCTGCAGTTTTGTTAGTCAACAACATCAGGGCATAGAGGGAACAAGAGTTAACTTGAGAAGCTAATTGAAGAGTTAACCGGGCTTAAGACTAGAAGCTGACTTGTCTTCACAAGGAGTTTATCTGTTGCTCCAAGTGAACTTTTTCTTACTGAAAAAGACGTGATCAAAAGGAGCAGGGTCGGAGAGACAAAAACGTAAACTATAATAAGTAAAAACTATAAAAAACACCCTTTCTGTTTTTAGAAAGAAAAGACAAAAGGAATAAACTTCAAAATTATAATGAATTGCATGATTTGTTTTATTATTTTCTACCTTTCTTTTCCATGCTTTCTAGAGACTTTCATCCTTCCAATACAGGAAATCAGCACAACAACAGTTTGCTGTTAATCCCCATTATGTTACCATCTAGACATTCCTACTAGAAAAAGTCAAAAAAACAGGTTGGGTTATTTTACCATTCCCTGTCACTTAAACTACTGTTAACCATTGCTTTACTTCCCAAATGAAATCTATCCCTTCTTACAACTTGTTTTTCTATCCTGTGTTTTGAAATGGCCTACAATCGGCAGTTTTCTTCATAAATCCTTTCAATGTTAACTTGTTTCAGCTACATAGCAAGAGGTGAATTGTAAAATATGATGTATTGGTACAGTATCCCTATCCATACTACAGAAGCTAGAGAAGCCTTTAAGGTGATTATTATACCTTATACATAAATCAAGCAATATTTGCAACAGCCTGATACATTAAATTCTCAGCTGTTTCACCTGGCAACTAACAACTAAACTCAAATATTAGTGTGGTTCTCTTTTCAGGGATGAGCCCGGGGAACACAAAAGTAATACCATGATCATTTTTATGCCATTAGATTCTTAATATTTTCAGGGGTGATACCTCTAAACTTAATCCCAGCCAGGACATGTCTACATCAGTCAGTGCAGACGGACATACATTTATTCAGCCCATACCTCCCAGTGGGTTTATTGAACCTGGTTCCGTGCCCTCCTGATGCAGCTTCTGGTGCTGGTAGCAGAAGATCTAGTTATATAGCATACATACATAGTATGTAGCTATATAGTATATATGTTTATATATATTCTGTGATTATAAAACTCAGTTAAGGCACTCAGTGTTTCAATTCCGATTAAGTGTTTCAATGGTGTCTTCCATTTTTATTTTTTAATATTGTCACTTTAACAATTTATTAAAATACGGAAAGGAAGAGTCATGATCTTACCATCCACACCCATTCTTATACAGGAGCCATGCCTTTAATTCTCCACTCTCTGAGAGGAATCTACCTGACAAAAGGCCTTATCCTTGTGACTAGTGGCAAGCCTGATGACTCCTTGGGCAAGTAGCTGCACATACATACACACATATATGCACGGTCACTACGTGTCTCTGTACAATCTGGCCCTATCTTACTTTGTAAGCCAAAACTGTGCAATCCCTCACATATGTGCTACAACATGGCTGTGGCCATAAAAGGTTTCTCAGTTTGAGGCATAATGGATAAGGGAATCCCACAGTTCTCTCACCTCTAGCTCATATTTCAACCACAGGGAGCTGCATGTCAGGACATCGTTGGGCATGCATGTAGGAAAATGCAAGTGCAGAACCTTCAATAACTATGATGGTTGTGAAGCTCGTGGTAAAAACCAAAGAATCATCACAATCTAGTCTTTCATTTTGTTATGAAATATTGTGTCTTCAAAATAACAAACTTGTGACTCCAGCAACAGTAGATTCACTGCTCTAATTCTTACCCGGCCTTGCTTGCCTGACCTCTCTTCTCATTAGGACCATGTAACAAGTCCTGTCTAGTCATGTTGAGCTAGGCCCACGAGTATGCACACCTCAGCAAGGACTGGAGAAAAACTCTGATTTTTCTAGGATATTTTAAAACTAAAGGAAAGTTACCCTCATTTCTTGAGGAGAGCAAAATAAGATTTCTAGCAGTCACGAAAAATATAGAATACATACATATATGTATGCATGTATAAATCCATAGAGTTAAACAATAACAGAAAAGAGTAGTTACAGATATCTTTTTCATAATATCTCTGAACCCTTGTTCTAATCAAGGAAAATGGAAAAAAAAATCATTTTAAAATAGGTACCACTGGTTAAATTGTTAGCCTCCAACATCCGTGAGAAACGTTTCCCTTGACTATTTCTCCACAAGTAGCACTGAGTGTGAATTCTGAATAATCTGCACCTCTTGTTCTTCTTAGAAGTTTTAATCATGACTTCAACAGAATTAAATCACAGCAATGTATCTAGAGCTCTGAATAAATAAAACTGCAATTCCAGGAGTGTAGCAATGTTGCAAATTAATTTGACATTCATTGTGCTATGGCTGATCAGGAAAACCTGCTTTTATCACTGTGCATGTTCAGATGTATTACCTGCCACCACGACTAAACTTTCACAGTATCTACTTAAAACAGAGTGTTAAAAATAATGTAAATTCTAGCAACTTCTGACTTTCCAGTTTTTGAGCAACAGTAAATGATTCTCCTTTTTTTGGAAGTATATGTTGATAACAGCAGCACATTCAGTTTTATCTGGTCAATTGAATATCAAATTCTATGTTTTTCTGGTATGCTCAATTATTAATTCATCTTCTCCGTCCCTTTTATAAATGCAATGGTATATGTCTCTGATACGTTTATGTCTCTCTATAATATTTCAGAATATAGAATCATAGAACCATTAGGGTTGGAAAAGAACTTCAAGCTCATCGAGTCCAGCCGTGTTAAACCATGTCCCTAAACGCCTCAGCCACACAGTTCCTGAACACTGCCAGGGACGGTGACTCCACCACTTCCCTGGGTAGCCTGTTCCAACGCTTCACTACTCTTTCCATGTAGAAATTCTTCCTAATGTCTAACCTGAACCTCTCCTGGTGCAACTTAAGGCCATTTCCTCTTGTCCTATCCATTGTTATTCTGGAAAAGATATCAACCCTCACCTCACTACAACCTCCTTTCAGGTGGTTGTAGAGAGTGATAAGGTCTCCCCTGAGCCTCCTCGTCTCCAGCTCCTTCAGCCGCTCCTCGGAAGGTCTGTGCTCCAGCCTCTTCACCAGCTTCACTGCCCTCCTTTGGACCCACTCCAGCACCTCACTGTCGTTTTGTAGTGAGGGGCCCAAAACTGGACACAGTATTCAAGGTGCAGCCTCACCAGTGCAGAGTACAGGGGGACGATCACTTCCCTGGTCCTGCTGGCTAAACTGTTTCTGACACAAGCCAGGAGGCCGTTGGCCTTCTTGGCCACCTGGGCACGCTGCTGGCTCATGTGCAGCCGTCTGTCGATCAACACCCCCAGATCCTTTTCTGCCGCGCAGCTCTCCAGCCACCCTGCCCCAACCCTGTAGTGTTGGATGAGGTTGTTGTGACTGAAGTGCAGGACCCAGCACTTGGCCTTGTTGAACCTCATAAAGTTATTCTCAGCCTTTAAGATTTCCTTCCTGAGAAAAACAGAGACTTCCTGGATCCCTTTGCTCTTCAGCATTGTCTCCCTAGGGACTCTCCTAAACACTCCAGAGCCCTCTCTCCAGAAGTCCAGTGTAGCTGTTTTGCTGACACTTCTCCTGACTGAGAATTGAAAACTCTATCATTTCATGGTCACCACACCAAGATGACCTCCAACCACCACATCTTCCACCAGTCCTTCTCTGCTGGCAAAAAGCAGATCTAGCAGGGCTCCTCGCCTTGTAGGCTCATTTACCAGCTGGGAGAGAAAATTATCTTTCACACACTCCACGAACCTCCTAGACCGTCTTCACGAACCTCCTAGAGTCTTTCCCCTCTGCCTTATTATGTTTCCAACAAACATCTGGTAGGTTGAAATCTCCCACAAAAACAAAGGCTGCCGATCATGTAATTTCTGCCAGCTGCTTACAGAATGTCTCGTCTCTCTCTTCATCCAAGTTGGGTGGCCTATCCACCAGGATATCAGCCTTAGCTGGCCTTCCCCCTGATCCTGACCCATAAGCACTTGACTTTCCCATCACCCTCTTGGAGCTCCACGCATTCAAAGGACTCCCTGACATACAGGGCTACCCCACTCCCTTTCCTTCCTTGCCTTGCCTGAAGAGCCTGTAGCACTGTAGCCACTGCGGCACTCCAGTCATGTCTGTGGTCCCACCACATTGCAGTGATGGTGACTATGTCATAGCTTTTGTGACACACCATGGCACCATGTGACACACCTCCTGGTTGTTGTCCATGCTGCACGCATTGGCACAGATGCACTTCAGCTGAGCTATGAGCTAACCCTATCCCTAACCCGAACCCTAGCCCTAAGCCTGAGCTCACCAGGCCTAGTGCTGGCTAAAGGCAAAATATGCTCCTAGGACCAATCTGGATATAGCGCTACATTTCCTTTCGCATATGATTTCTAGCCCCACTCCACATGGAGCTCCTGGCTTTCTCTCTTTCTTAACCCTTACCCTAGCCCTAACCCTAACACTAAAGCTAGCCCTAAGCCTAAGGTCACCAGCCCTAGTGCTGGCTAAATGTCAAATACACTCCCAGATCCAATCTGTACATAGCGCTACATTTTGTTGACATGTTCTTTCTAGACTCACTCCCCATGAGGCTCTAAGCTTTCTCTCTCTCTCTCTTACCCCTAACCTCAGCCGTAATCCTAACCCTAGCCCTAACCCAACCGTAAGCCTGAGGTCACAAAGCCTAGTGCTGCCTAAAAGTCAAATATGTTCCTAGATCTAATCTGGATACAGTGCTACATTTCCTTTTGCATGGCCTCGCTAGCCCCACTCACCATGGGTCTCTAAGCTTTCTCACTTTTCTTAACCCTAACCCTAGCCCTAACTACAAACCTAGGCCTATCCCTAACCCTAGGCCTGAGCTAACAAGGCCTAGTGGTGGCTAAGTGCCAAATACTAGATCCAGTCTGGATCTACACTACATTTGCTTTGCATGTCCTTTCTGGCCCCACTCCCCAGGGGATTATTGGCTTTCTTTCTCTCTTAACCCTAACCCTAGCCCTAACTCTAGCCTAACCCAAACCTTAGCCCTAAGCCTGAGCTCACCAGGCCTAGTGCTGGCTAAAGGCAAAATATGCTCCTAGGACCAATCTGGATATAGCGCTACATTTCCTTTCGCATATGATTTCTAGCCCCACTCCACATGGAGCTCCTGGCTTTCTCTCTTTCTTAACCCTTTCCCTAGCCCTAACCCTAACACTAAAGCTAGCCCTAAGCCTAAGGTCACCAGCCCTAGTGCTGGCTAAATGTCAAATACACTCCCAGATCCAATCTGTACATAGCGCTACATTTTGTTGACATGTTCTTTCTAGACTCACTCCCCATGAGGCTCTAAGCTTTCTCTCTCTCTCTCTTACCCCTAACCTCAGCCGTAATCCTAACCCTAGCCCTAACCCAACCGTAAGCCTGAGGTCACAAAGCCTATCTTCATATTTTCTCTTACAGTTTTTCTATTTAATTAGTTAGAAAAATCTTTTCTTCCCATTGATGACATTCCTCTAAGGAATCTGTCACCTTAGAACCAAGAGACTCCATCCACAAGCTTCTGCAGTGAATTCCAGGACTTCCAAGCAGCTTTGCATGTAGGAATTCTGGCTTTGTAGCTCACCCCAGAAATGCCAGCACTCACCTGGCATGCGATGGTACAAAACGTAGCCATGGCTTCAGACTTGCCACTTCTGCCTGCAAAGCCCAAACCACTTGAAACCCCAACAGATGCATTTCCAGGGGACTAGGGACAGACAGAAACTGCTGCAGAGCTCTAACTATCTCCTATTGTAGATCAATGTCACCTGTCAGGGCTCCATCACATTTTTCTCCTTTCAGGAATTTATTGCATCTAATTACTTTTGTATGATTGGCTAAGTAATAATGCCAACAAATCCATGAAACTTCTAAATGGCATTTTCCTCACTTAGTTCTGGGAGGATCATAAATAAAATCCTTTGTTGAATGAAAAGCTTTTGTCTGTGTTTTCTAGACAGATGTGGTTTCCCAAGATCTGTTATCTCTGACAGTACTCCATCAAACTTTGGTCTGATTCTTTATTTCTTCATATGTTGAACAACCTCAGAAATATTCTTTTAACTGAATTTCGAGGCTCTGTTACTTAGATCTTTCCCTCATTCTGTATTGAATAACTATTACCATTAAACTGATTTAATGAGGTGCATTATAGTAAAACAGCATTTTGGCTGATTAAACATGTATTGAGAGCATAAAATCATCTCTTTCATGTTTGCTCAAAATAATTGCAAACAATAATTTATAACCACCATTATAACTATATTTATGTTTTACAGTTGTATGGATTTTATTGAATCTCAACCCATTGTGCACTCGCTCAACCAGTCTCAAGGCTCAGCACTGCTAGTAAGGCAAAACAAGAACCTACGATACAGCACTCCAGAAAAAAATCACACTTTTTGAAGGAACAATAAGCTTTATTATGCAACAAACATCGCCACCCAACAAGCCTAAAACAGATCTACAACTTTAAATGTGTGCCACAAAGGCAGGAAGATGGCTAAGGAGGAAAACTCTTTTATTACATGATCACGAAGTAACACCCAAGTGTTCTGGATGGGCTCTGGAGTCTTCAGTGTACATGTTTTCACTGTGCTAACTTCTTTCATAAGTATTTTTTACAGAACTCCTTATTCTGGTTGCAGTAAGGTAAAAATGTGTAAGGTTTCTTTCCACAGCAACCTAAAAGAAAGGCCTTCAACACAAGGAAACCACTATATTTTTGCTTTTTTTTTGTCAGAACAACAAAGACCGTTTAGTAAGGATGCTCAAACTCCTGGAGTGGAAAAGTGTATCCTAAAATGATGCATCTAACAGTGCCAAATAATTAGTGAAGCAAACAATAGGTTGGGGTGATACTTGATATCCAACTATTTTCAGAGGAAGCAAGAAAAATTCTTATTCCAAAACTGTAGCAGAGTTTATGAACTTTGATCGGTCTGTCACACCAGCTTAAAAATCTCTAAATTATTCCAGGGAATTCTGCCAGGCCTATTACAGGAAAGTTTCATTTCAGGCTACCTGTATCCTATACCACATCATTCCTTTCCGCATATTTATTTTCTTTATAAAATCCAGGGAATAATTGTAATCAAATGTAATGTATTAATGCTATGTTTAGAAAAATTCAAAAGCTTCAGCAGCAACACAAATGCTATCGCACTGCACCTCTCTCTGCACTATCATTTTTCTATGCATTTCTATGTTACGAATGCAATGAAAATAAGAAAAAAACCCATTAGCTTAAAGCTATTACTTTTCTTATGAAGCCCCTCCATGATAACCTCCTTGACACCATCAAACTTGTTTTGCTTTCCACAGCTCTAATTCACTAGGAACTGCATGTGGAACATCCACAGGTGTGGAAAAAGTTACGGACTATGATACATGTCAGGCTACCTGCCTTTGAGGTCAGGGAATGGTGGCAGTACCTCCTCATTTTCCAAGTATTGGCATAACCCACAGTATCTCAGAATGACAGGAAGAATGATTTGGAAAAAAAAAATCAAATTTGTAGTTTCTGGATGGGAAGTGAGTTGCAGCTGAGGCATCTTTGCAGGAAAAGTCCTTTCTCTTCAAGCCTCACATAAAGACACACTTCTTAAGCGAAATCCTTTGTTTCAAAGGGGTACACTACGCTTTCATAGAACACATATTTAGTTATATTCAGCCTCCCAGGCTAAAGCACCGTAGCTCTCACAGCTACCCGCTCCAAAGCGGGCCCTTCCTTCAGCGTTCCTCCCTCACCACTAGATCGCATCGTTTATTCGGCTCGCAGTAAACGGGACGCCCTTAAAGGCGCCCTCCGCACGCCGCTAACGCACACACCAACCGCCCGCCTAACGGCCGCACTGCGCACGCGCCCTCCCCTCACAACACAACAACCCCGCCCACCCCAACGGTCGGACCAACCCACACCGCCTTCCGCGGGAGGGGGTTCGATGACGTCACCTCCCGGGTCCCGTTGTCTGCCGCGGGGCTCGCGCAGGCCGAGGCTCTGGTGGGCGACTGGGTGCTCGAGTTCGCCTGTTACTGCCTGTGCCGGCCCTTCCGCGAGGACCGCGCCGCTGAGTTCCGCCGCTTCAGGGACGTGGCGCAGGGTGAGCGGGCGCGTCTCCTCGCCGCGGCCTCGCGCGGGATCCTTTGAGGGGATCTTTAGAACCATGGTCTATAACTGAGAGGCCAGCAGCTCATATCGCACGGCTAGTGTGTCTGAAGAAGTGCTTGTGTTGCTAGTGCAGCTTTTTTGGTTAGAGAGTAAGTCACAACTCTAAAGTTTGCAAGTCCCAGCTTTCAAGCGTAAACATAAAAGGGCACCTTTTAGGGTCTCCTTTTCTGTAGCACCTACGTTTAATCTTTGGCCTGTGTAAGCAGACTTAGTATGCCTGGTTAGCCTGCTAATAATCAGTCATCAGTGCTCATCAGTGGCCGTGTGTTCAGGGGGAGCACAGCAAAGAAATGTCATGATGATGTTGAAAAGTGGAGGTGTTATCAACACAGAAGCAGACTGGAATATCTGACAAGAATGGGAAGACTTTTGAGGACTGTCAGTAGAAGCAATTGTACAGAATTCAAGGTCACATGGAATTGCAAGCTAACAGCAAAGTTCCTGTAGAACTTCAGACCTCAACAGAGGGGAGCTGGGCATACTGATGATAGCATCATCAATTCATCGTTATGAATTGATGCTATGCATCAGCATAGCAGTCCATGGAAAAGCAAAGTGCAGAAATGAGACTGTATTGGAAAACATTTTTCAGTAGAAATTAAAAAAAAAAAAACCTGCTTTTGCACAAGGCATAGTGAGACTCTGCTGCATGCAGTCCTGGTTGACTCGAGGCTGACTCGAACCAAAGCAAGAACAGAAATGGGATAGTAGGAAGAATAAAGAAACAGAGGTGCTTTTTGAATAGATGAATGATTTTGATGTAAACTTCACTGCACTGCCGAGGAGAAATGGCTGGACTAGCCCTGAGATCTCAGGGTAGCTTTTATAACAGTATAATGACAAGGTTACATGCCTTGCTTAATGGTCTGTTACCTGAACTACCTTGCTGAGATATCTGCATTTCTGCTATTCTAAAGAAAACTAAGAAATGCATTTATTACCTCAGGTAGGGAAGCAACTGAAGACCAATCTAAGAATACAGTTAATAAAAGAATGAATAGATATAAAATGTCTTTTTATTAAAAGAAATGAGACCTCTAGAAGAGCTTACTATGGGTATATACTGATATTAATCTGCACTACTTGTGAGCAATTGGTGCTTAGGACCTGGCATTTCTACTGTAAATGTTTTGGGCTCTTTTTCTTCTTTGGAATAGCTCTATTCTGGTCCCATGAACCAAATGCCTGTTTGCAGCTGGAGCATTGTCTTCCAGTTTCCTTTCATGTGAAAGGGAAATTTAGTGCCTTTGAGACTTCTTCATCCTACAGCCTAAAACACACAACAATTTGCTTTAAAAATGCATTCCTCCTCTGGATTGAAGCACTAATGTATGTGTGCTTTAAGTGAAGCAGGAGGAGCAAAGAAGCCTGAAAGACCAAGCCACCTGCCAATATGACAGGTTTTGTCCTGTTGAATCTTTCAACTATGTTTTTCAGCCTCCCTCAAAAAATTCTCAACTCTGGCTCCATCTTCAGGACACAACAATAGCTCTTCTTTCTATCTATTAAATTCATTAGTCAACTATTTTCTAAAGCTGGACTCTGTTTGGCTTAAATGCTGTAGGAACCTGTGATAATAAAGGCACTTTCCGTTATGCTGAACAATGTCCTTTAAATTCCTATTTTAGCTCTTTAAAATGTACCTATTAAGAGCTATTGTCTCTTCTACTCACTAAAGTAGAATTGTGGTCCTTTGAAGATGAAGTAACAATAATCTACTTGATGTTAGATTTCCCAGTCAGTCAAGGGCTTTTTAATTAGTGTGTAAGTGCATCCATTGCTCCTGGGAGTGCTCAGTCTACTTGCTCAGTAGTGTATGAGAGTCTCCTAAGTAAAATGAAGACCTGCTTGTGATAGTGCAAACTGAGGGTCCCAAGTGCCAGACTTCCTCTCTTTCTCTATGTGTGTGTGTGTGTGTTAGGCTAGGAATGAAACAGGCACACAAGAATTAGGGTGCTCGATCTGCTTGACATGTTCTTCACTTCTTACATTTGAATGTTTCTCTGCATACTTTGAAGATAAATCACTTGCAATACACAGCACATTAGAATAATAATCAGTATAATGATGATAATCTCATGATAGCTTCCATTCTAAAATATCTAATAATCCTTACGACCTTGCCAGCTTGTGAGGAGGATTGCCCCTGTAGGCTTGCACTTCAGTGCAGCTTTCGCTGGTTTGGGTCTGTCAGTTGCCCCAGCCAACTTAGAAGTGAAGTGTATGGAGGCTGTGTGCTCCTCATGCTGCCTGTTTTGCAGCTATTCCTCAGAAATGTTCCCTGAGGCAGATGCTTCTGTCTTTCATCATAAGCTACTGAGCAAAATAAGACTTTATTTATGTATGATACTGTGATATTTTCCTGATTGAATGACTGTAAGCCTGTGATGTGTCTCATTGCTTTTAGGTTGCTCTTGCCAACAAGAATAAAATTTTCTTGTCAAATTCTTTAAAAGTGACTTAAATTCTTGTGATGTAGAAGGAAACTAATAATCTCCCTAACTTCAATTCTTTAGAAAACTGGTGCAGCACTTTTAAGTCTTACACCAGATTCTGTGATGTATCTCTAGCCACACTGTGGCACTGCTGGAGCAAAAGTGACTTATTTTTTCCTCTTCTTTTCCAGCTGTTATTAATAACCTCTCCAAAATAGCTACTCATCAGAAAAAAACAGTATATGTCTGCCAGCTTTTGACAAGAATTGCGAAAGGAAAAAGACTTGGTAAATATTCTGGGATTTTTTTTGGTGGTTGTTGTTGTTTTTGGTTTTTCCTTCACTCTTGCTTAAGTAGATTATTTCCATGAACTTGTACAAAGACTTATTTGATATGTTTTCATGTAATTGTTACTAAGTAAATAAAATGACTGAAATATTACACTTTCATTGTGCTTATATTCCACTAGTAACTGAGCTGTATGCAGTACTGGTGATAATCAGAGCCACATGATTTAATAGCTTTGAGCTTGATTGTTTCTGTACTTTGCAAATGACAGGACTTTCTGTCACAATAGAATCAACAGAAAAATTTCATTTAAAAGACTGACCACCTCCTAGTGAGTGCAATCTGCAAATATAATGTGGGGAGTCTGTATTTCTTCACATGCAAATCTTGAGGTTATGTTGTGTTATGTGTGAGACAGTAGATGTGAGAATATGAATGAAAATGATGAGTGCCTTTCTTCTGCATAGAAAGTTGTAAGAGATTGACAGCAGCTCCTTGGGAGGTACAATCACTGTAGCCTTCGTTTGGCTATGTTCACTATCTACTGATTCTGCTTTTGTGCTCAAGTTTCTGGCACATTTAACTTTTTCTCTGCAAGTCTTCACTGCTTAATAAAACTCAGTTGAATTTAGGGACTTCAGAAACAATCTTTCCAGCATAAGCATGGAATTTATATATATATATATGTATATATATACACACACATGTATATATAGACTAGCAGTTTGCAGAGGCTTGTGGCTACAAAACAATTTCTTGTGTTCATTGTCAAGTAATAACACTGTACTTGATTTAGTTCAACTTCAGAATCAAATTGTATTATTTATTTGTTCATCACATACAAATGATGAAAAGTCTCTGTATTGGCATTAAAACTGTTGTTATTCTATATAATACTTGGGAATGACTTCAATGTGCATTTTTATCTATTGCAGCATAGCGTATGTCCTGTATAGAGGAGAAGATTCCATGCATTTATGTCAGACGTAGCTGCACAATGTACATGGAAAGCTTATATACTGTATAGTAGCTTTCCTCATTAGTTTCTGATGATTAAAATAAGGTTACGGTTTAATCTTTATTGACCCTGAAGATAGAATTGCTTGTTTCAGATGCCAAGCTCTAAAGCTAACTTAAACAGTTAGATTCTTATAATATTAAAATAAGTGTCATATTCACTTAAATGAAACAAGGATTAAAAAATGCCCTGTCAGAGCAGGGGTCCTTAAATGATATCAGCTACGAGATAACTCAAAAGGCAAAAAAACTGAGCAGTATCAAAGACTAATTTTTTTTCAGTCTTGCTGAAATACTTTGCCTTCTGTCTTTTTTTTAAAAAATAAAATAAAAAATCAGGGTGATCCTGACTGTAAGGAATAAGGAGAAATAGAGATTTTGCTATGGTGTTATGTAAAAGATAGGAATAAGAGTGGCTATAATTGAGTGAACACCACGAGCTACGCTGGCACTGTCAGGGAGAGAAGCAGTTCCCTGCACCTGCCAGCTTCTCCTGCATCTGTTCTGGCAGCACACCCGTCTGTGCAGATGTGCAATGAGAGGGCTGGAAAATCCTTGCAGAGAGAGGAAGGAAAGGCTTGTTGTCTGGGCTAGGTTTTCTGCCAAATCCAGTCACTGATCTTGCTTGCTGGGAGTTGGCATAAACATTTATGTTAGCACAACAGATGAGGTGACGTAAGTGGTTACTTCTACTTTTTTTTTCTTTTATGGCCATGCTGTGTTACCTTGCTTGAATCTCCCTCTAGACTTAGAGCTAGAAAAAAAAAAAAAAGACAGATGGTAATGTAGAGAAACACCCTGGAAAATGAGAATTCAAATAAAGATAGTTGTGTTTTGTGTTACAGAATTTACAGTAGTGATAGCAAATGTTTAAATATCTGATGCCAAACTTATTGTAAAAGCATTATTAATGCCAGCCCAAACACATGATGCTAAACTTGGCACTATTGCAAATTGGATTTTAAATTAACAATAATTTCAGAGACATCTTTCCTTAAGAATGGAATGGCATAGTTACTTGCAGGGGTGAAAATAAGGAATGTAATTCAGCTCTCTTAAATACACTCTGAGGAAGACACTACTATTTCTTTGAGGAAAAAGCAATTGAAATTATGCAAAGTACATATGACTTTATTGTGCTTGAAAAATGACATTTAGTTTATTTACTTTTTTGTTTAAGTACTAAGCACTTAATAATTTATTATTTTCTCTCTAAGATTGTCATTTTGAAAATGATGAAAGCATTTCACCTTTGGAATCTGCTCTGTCAGTTTGGACCTTACTTGAAAGGGAAGAAAGTAAACTTGACAAGCTTCATGAAGATATTCGTCGCTTAATTCAGATTCAGGTCTGTGTGGCTTGTCCAGAAACTGTTAAGGATGCTATGTATTCATTCAGCTAAAATTATTTTCATAAATCTGGGCAAAAATGCATTTCAGCCTATCTTGTAAATGCAACTGTCTTGGTTGTAGGTTGTAGCAGTCCATATGGAAAAAGGATATTTTAAGGAGGCAGCTGCAGTACTTGAAAGGCTGTTTACGGATTTGGAATCAAATAAGGTAGTAACAGTATTTCAAGATTCTTTTTTAATTAAAACTGTTCTTTAACTGTTAGTGAATTTTTTAAGTTGTTATATTCACCTTGGCAGCTCGTTTAAGGATAGAGTGGTGTTGAAAATAACTTGATCTTGACACAGTTTTGCTCAAATTAGGCAAAGATTTAAAAGTGATAATTTGGTTATAATGTTGTGATGTTAGATACTCTGTATACCCATGTGTGTACTCAGTGTGTTCTGTGCTGTTGCCTGGTATTTCATCATCGTGTTTAAAACATGAAAAAATGCATTTTGTTTTGTATTGATTCAAAGGGCTAATGTAACTGAATACTGCATTTCAGTTTGTCTTAAAGGTCTGTCAGTTTGCTCTAGGTTGGATGAAAATGCTGGTTTCTTTTTTAAAGAGTCTTTAAAGTTGCATCTTGTCTAAATTGAAATTCTTCTTACCATTATAAGGGTCCTTGTTAATAAAGATCCTTAATGCTAGTTTTCCAGAATGAGCTGGTCAGTACGAGCTACCAGCCATTGGACGTGTTTTCGTCTGGATGTCAGCCCCTGGAGGAGGTGAATAGGTTTCCTAAAGCAGTAAATAGTGCCTACCTGGTTCCCTTCTAAGTCTTGCTTCTGCAGTCACATACACGTGCGACACCTGTCGACACAAAAGGACATTTTTGGATTATAGGGTTGATAGAGGTGGAAGATGATTCAAGTAGTAAAATAACTGCTTGTAGCAGCAGTTGCTTTTCATGGACAGCAGCAGTCCCACCTCTGTCTCCTCTTCCACTCCAGATGAGAAATGAGTGAGGTGTGAGGTGCCACTACAGCTTCTGGGAAGCTGGTACCAGAGGTCTTGTCTGAGTAAAGACGGTATAAACATCCTTGTAGAGAAAGGATGAGCCCACTGCTCTGATCAGGCTCCTGATCTTCTTTATGAACCCTTGCAGTGGGCTCTGTTTACCTCATCCATTGGCAAATTGAAACATCAGAAGGCAACAAAGCTTAATATGGAGTAGATGTTCTACCTCTATCTGACAAAGATAACACCTGTGGGTCATGATGCATCCTGGTCTCATGTTGATTGCTTCATTAAGACGCATGTTTGAGCACATACCTATTCATTACAACAGCAGATGCATATGCCTGAGTTTGCTGAAATCCATAAAACTGCTTAGAGTTATTGGAAGGCAATGGGGCCTGATGCTAGGAGGCTGAAAAGGGTAAGAATTTTTTTTTATAGTGTAAGAGTTTTGGTCTGTTCTCTGAATATGTGCAGTGCCCATGTTAGCCAAAAGACAGAGCCTCTAACAGTCCCTCTGTTTCTCTTCAGAAGGACTGTGCATCGTAAACTGTAGAAACTGGTGGAACTCCTGGTGCTATTGCTGGCTCACTTGAGAACCGTTTCAGACTGTGGCATAAAGATGTATTCCGATCCCTGCTGTGATCTCATTTATCTCTGTATAACTCTTCATATAGATGAATGATGCTAAGATTACTGTAAAATATATTTTCATGTACTATATAAAGCTGTGCCTTTTTTTAGTCTTTAAAGATGAAGCTGGCAACCATAATTAAGAGCAAGGATCCTTATGTTCCCTTTCTTCAAAACTTCAGTTATGATCTTATGATAAGAAAAATAAAGAACTATGTTGAACTCTTCATGAAAGACAATGAAGCTAACTTCTTAATACAGGTATGTCAAAACTTTTTGGAAAACTTAAAAGAAGGCACATAATAAGATTAAATAGATTGATACTTTCAAGGCAGTTGTTTAAATGGTGCTCAGTAATTGCATAAGTTGAGAGGAAAAGTTTATCTTGTTATAGATAGCCTCATTAATGAAAGAGTTTGAGTGTAGATTTAAGAAAACTAGGAAGAATAAGACTCCTCTAAAACTGGACTCTTTCTTTCCTGTAACTGCTTTGCTTAGAAAAGTAGCATTAAAAAGTGTAATTAAAACTACATCTGTCATCTGAATATATTTAAGAAGACTAATTCTGATCTAAGACCCTGAAAGATAATATATTTATATGTTCTTTTTTTTTTCTTCAAGCCAATAAAAATATCATATTAAAACTAAAAGATCTAGACAGCTTAATTTGGTTAAGAGTTCTAGGAATGTCAGAGTAATTAGAGATTTCAAGCTATGTTTTCTTTTTTATTTTCTGTAAATAAAAAGTTCCTTACAAACCTTATTGCTTAAAGGTGATTTAAAATTGCTAAGAACAACATTCTTCCTGCAGCTCATCTTCAGGAGGATTGTAAAGAATTTCCCTCATGGTTCCTTGCTATAAAAGAATATTGAATTACTCAATTACAAAAGCACAAATACCTAAAGAATAAGAAGTAAATAAACAAACCTGAAGTTCCTCTGTATTTTTTTTTGTTTCTCTCCCAGAAAGAGAGATTAGCCTCTCATTTATATTTTTATATATATAAAAATTTACCTTAACAGTCTAAATATCTACATATTTTGCTAGGCAACTCAGTTGTCATTTTCCAAGGCAACGTGTTTGAGTCTGAGAGTGCAGAGGTTTGGAGGTGTCTGAGAAGGCCCAGAACCCCACTGTAGTGCATCTGTGCCCTTTGTGCTGCATCACCACTGCCTGCATGCCCTTCTGCCTGTCCTTATTGGCACCAGTGTGGCAAATCTTTTCTTTCTTCTGCTGAAATATTTTTGCTTTAGTCTGAATGACTCCAGGAAGTGAAAGCGGCCACACACCATTATCTCCCAGAGGTCTCTTCTACCCAAGCATAGAAAAACACTAGACCTGTTCTTTCCCTTCCTGAGTACCACATGTGGAAGTACAAGAAGTCTTTCCCTGCTGGACCATTTTGTAGGCTGCTTTTTATGGGCTACTGTAAGGCTTGGAGTCTGCAAGAGTGTGGCACCATCTGTTAACAAAGTTCTTGAGCTTCAAGAAATGTTTAGGTTAGCTGCCCTAAGTATAGTCTGCAGATATTGCAACCCCAAGAAACAGGATCTGTACCATGTAAACATCAACCTGGTTACTCAGTAACCAAGCAATAATTTTTTGAAGGTGTTGCTTGTTCTTAAAAATAAATATGAACAATTTAGGAACAGTACAAATTCTAAAATGCTTAAGAAATTCAATAGAGTAATGACCTCTTTCTACTCTTCTACTCCACTGGCCCCACTGGAGGAAAAATCTGTTTAGTTTATGGCTAAAATAGATTTTTATTTATTTTGAGAAAACAGGAAAAGTTACCTTAAGCTTGAAGCCTGGCAAGACATATGTCTTCTGAATTTGTTGTAGGTTTTCTGGATCCTGCCCCTCAGTGCATTGAGTGGAGCAAAACGAACTCCTGAGATCTCAGTGTTTCATTTCCATTTCTTATGAAAGACTTACGAGTACTCTCACAGTATTTACAATCTTAATTATTCCCTGCAGAATAATTAATTCCCATTTAATTAAATGGGAAATATATTTCACATATCCTCTGTGTACTTGCTTTGCAAGTACTTATTTTCTTTCTCTCAGTGTACATATAAAAATTAGCTGTGGCTATGCCCAAAGTTTCCGAGCTTTTACTGTTAAGCCAAAATCCAGACTTTTTTTAATCTCATAACAACTGTTATTTTGAAACATCTTATTGTAACAGTAGTGCACTCTGTTAAAGGGTCTGGAAAATAAGCATTGTTAGCCCTAATAGAAAGTACATTAAAAAGCTGCTTACAAAGATTATTTTAGGTACTGTGTGTGTTTAAAATTGATGTATTGACTCCATTTCATGCAGGCTGCCATGAAACAGGTGGAGGCTAAAGAATTAGGAGGAACAATTTTGGATAATGAAACTGGGAATGTCAGTGCAACAAATGAAGAAATTAATTTGGAGGCAAGTCAGAGGTTTGTATTTGGGAGTGTAATGCTGAAGGATAGCTTGGTGCTAAGAATAGGTTGAAGGAAAGATGATAAATTCTAAAATTACTGTTCAACAGAAAATGAAAAGTACAAATATGTTCCCTTCTATCTTTAACTTCTAGATTTGATTTTTACTCTTGGCATTTGCATCAGATAGCTTGACATTGAGTATGTATTGGAGAGGCACATTTTTCAGTTCAAACAGCTGTCAGTCTTGAATTAAAAATCAAGCTTGTTCTTTATGTTTCTGCTTGTTATTCAAGCTTTTTCTTTATGCTTCATCTGCTTGTTTTCATCTCTTCAATTTTGGGCTACATAGAAATTCTGGAAAAGGAAGAGTACTAACACAATTGCACCTGAAAGAGGCTTAATGTAAGACTTGGTCAAAAACATATAGAAACAATTCTTTTATTCATACTTCACATCTTTACAATGTGTTAGGAATGCCTTGTCTCTTAAATGCCTTGTCTTGTGGGGAGTGCTTATGTTTGTTTTCTTTTAGCTTTATGGAAGAGCTGAGTACTACAAATCAGTCATCTGAAAGTGGAAGAAAGCCCACAGTAGGGTAAAATGATATTTTGTTGTTGTTGCTAATGGTCATACACATTCATGGAAGTTCTCAGTACGTTTTACTTCAGTTATGTTTCTTGCAGGACTTGCTCAGGAGGCAAACACAGAAAAAGAAGTGCTCTTCAAAGTGAGTACTAGCTAACTTTTATGCTGCTGAAATTATGTGAATGTTCTTTCCAGACAAAGAGTTGGTGGTTTGATAACTCCTTTCCAAATAATGTTTGAATTCCTAGAAAAATAATTATACTGAAAAAAGAAAAATTGTTTTGTGCAGACACTGCGCACAACAATATGCCCCACTTAGAGAGGTGTGAAATGGCTTAAGATTCCCAGGCATTTCATCTTGCTAAATCATTTACTTTTTTGCTCTGTTTTTGCCTTTTTACTAAGGTTATGATATTCTGTCCCAAAGAATGTGACCATTGGATGTGAATATTGGATTTTTCCCTTTTTTGGGCTTTTCTTTTGGGCTTCTGATCTAGGTAGTTCTGGGGAGAATAAACTAAAGAGGCTGACTGGTTCATGGGGAATAAAATGATGTGTAAGATGCCCAAAACTAGGATGCTAATGCCTAACTTTCCTGGTAGTATTTTAAAAATACTTAAATATATGTATAATCTATGTTTTACCTCCATTCTGAAAAGCATTGGTACCCTGTTACCACAAATAGCCAATGTTATGGCCTTTGTGTTGGTTGCTGTGTCAGTTGGAAGTTATATACCTTTTTGTGGAAATGACAAACCCTGTATGCAAAGGATCAGACCTCTGACTTCTGATTATTTTTCATTTTCTCTATTTAAAATTAGCGTTATCTGTATTAGTTACTTTAAAAAAATGGAAAGAGAACTGTTATGTACTCATTTTTACTTGATTATTTAAAGTATTATTTTATAAACTATCACAAAAATGGACTTTCTTGAAAAAACTGTTTTCTGAGTCTTTGAACTTAGAGGAGATTGCACACACCTCTTTACATATATACTGTGTGTGTATACTCACATAGAGACATACTGAAGTTATTTCAATCTGTCAGAGAATATCAAGATAATGTTACGTGTTTGTTTCATTAAGACTGCTGTCTTAACTTCACACTGGTCTGAATGTGTTTCAAATATCTTCTAGGTCTGGACAGCTTGAACAATATAGAAAAACATGGACGTGCTTGGGCTTGTGGTCGAAAAAGGCAGGTTTGTATCCGTTCCCTTTTCTAAATGGACATAATAAAATATTTGCAGCCTTAACAGGGCTTTTTGTTTGTTTGTTTTCCAACTTTTAGTTGAATAGGCCCCTAGGGAAGCAATTCAAAATGCTGGGATTTGGTAGTCTTTGTTGCTCAAGTGTCACTGCCCCTGATATGACTCTTTAAGTGCTAATTGCTGTCATCAAAAAATATATGGTTTTTTTTTGTTTTGTTTTGTGCGGATGTGGCCTCAGGTCTTCTTCTGTACCCTTCTGTGCCAGCTGTTTCCTTCTTCTGACACTTCAGCCTTCATGCTACAGGGGAGGATAAACCTACACGTGTGGGGGTGTTGTTTTGGTTAGTCCTCAAGGAGAACGGTGCTTAGTCCTGAACTTTTAGGAATATTTACAGAAATCAAAGTACTGGTTACATCTCCAATAACATGCTGTCCTCTGACTGGTTGAACTCCTAAGGAAAGCTGCTGTTAAGATATCTTTACTACCCTCTCTCCCTGGACGTTGATATAGCCTCTTGCTGCATGTAAACATAGGATTTTTTCCATCTCACAAATCTTAAAAGTAGTTACATCAGTGAGAGCCTCCTAAACAGCTGCCAATATGGCCAATACCCCAAAAAATGAATGGTGCTCATTCCATTTATCCCTTGGCTTCAAGAACATAATTAGCTTGCTTTCTCCTTCTACTTGAGTTGGTACCTTGTCAGCCAGTTGCTCACAAGCATGTACGTGCTTTATGCCAGCTAGACCGCAGCTGACACAATTGACCTATTTTTTAATTGAGGTAGTCTGTATGGGGTCAGCTACAGGCCCTGTTTCTCCATCTTGCACTCATGCACAGATCTCATTAGGAAAAAAAGAGATGATGTGTGCTTAATTCTATTTTTTTAATTCATTCTTAATTAGGGAGTAAGGACTCAATTTACAGAGGAGGACAACATTCGATAGTAGTGAAGACTACACTAAATTAAAAAATGAAAGAAGCTAAAGTCCAAAACAATGTCCCTGAACACTGAGGAAAGCATACATCTGTTCTCTCTGCTGGTGTTGGTGCCAGTGAGCCCTCTCCTCTGGGTGCTGTGTGGAGAGCAACGATACTGGCCTTTTAAACAGTGAATCTGCCCCTCTGCTTAACGAGGGGGTTATGTAAGATGGGCTGCGTGCAGGGAAGAATGCTGTGAATGCCAGGGCGGCCGCCTTCCAGAGCTGCCTTTCCACGCAGCGCCTCGCTCAGGGCTGCCCTTGTTTGCCCTTGCTTTGCAAAGGGCTTTTCACTGCCATGCTTCCGTGCCCCTTTGCAGCCCTTTCACTGCTATGTTTTCAGTCAGCTCCATACAAACAGTCTGCAGTGCAACTGGAAGGGGATGCACTTTATTTTCTCATTCTTAAACTCCTTTAGGATGCAAGTGTCACGGAAAATGTAGAGAACTACTTATACTGCAGTTATATTTTGTTTTTGCATGGCAGTTGTCTAATTGAAATCCGTTTGTCTATTTGTTTAAATAATGTGTCTGAAAATCTAGCTTTTCAGAATTCAGTCAGTTGTGTGAAAATTAATTGCATATATTTAAATCTGGACAAATTCCAGAAGGAAGAAGGGTCCCTCTTCTTGTATAATCAAATGATATCACATTGCCAGAAAAAAAAAAAAAAAAACACCCTGATTCTATAGATTAATAGGACCTTTGGATATGTGAGGATATGTCTGCGCAGTCCCTTTGGTAAAACAAAGTTTGTTCTACAGGCATCCCGCCCTCGCCAAATGTCAGCCAGCCCTGGCCAGGACACTGTCCCTGTGTTAGCTTGAGGTTAATGCTGGGATATGCCCAGTCTGTCCAGCCAGTCTTAGTAGCTGATGCCAGTGCAGGGAGAGGGTGCAAAAACTGCCTGCGCCTTCTAGGACAGCACCTGGATCTGTCATGGGGGTCGGGACGTTGTCACTGTTCGGTGTTGGTCCCACTGCAAAGGGGAAAAAGAAACTCTCCAACCTGCATGTAGGATGCTCATTTGGGTGTTAAACTGAGGAGAGTTAGAAACTTAAAAGGACAGGAGGAGGAGGAGGAGGGGAAAAAAAAAAAAAAACCCTTGCAAAACTTTTTAACAACAAATGTAATGAATCACTGCAACAAAATGACAAGGGTTGTGATTGTTTCAGCTGCTGGAAATACTTGAATTCTGTCTTGTCAAGTAGGTCAAGCATAGCTGTGTTGCTTGAATAAAGATTTTATTTAGGAAAGGTTTTTCTGACATGCTGCAAAATCAGTTGAGTGAGATGATACCAATGGAATCTCTGGCATTTTATTAAAAAAAAAAAAAAGTACTATTTGGGGCTAATATTGTGAAAGATCTGTGTCAGTCTTTTCTTAATGCAATGCTTGAGTTTCCAACCTAGTGAATGAGGTGCATTTATGAGCACTGTTCCTTGTGACAAGACTTCCCAATCAGTTTGAAATGCTATTAGTAGAAATCAGTAATTCTTCATGTAATCCAGTTTGCAGGGTGTGTTGTGTATTTGCTTTCCATTTTATTTTTAAGAATCCACACTTTTACTGAGCATGACTAAGTAGGGCTTTAGCTAACTTGCTGACTCCCCTGGTGCTTTTATTAACAAAAATGCTTCCAGGACTTCTTTGCTGTTTCAGAACAATTGCAAAGTAAGCAAAGCCCCAGACAGGGGTCGAATTCAGAAGTTATTTGTGCACTAAAAAAAAAAAGGGCGGATGGGGAAGAAAAACCCCACAGCCTTATTCTTGCTTAAACTTTTCAAGTACTTTCTTAAAATTCTTAACTGCTACTCCAGAATGAGAGGGGAAAAATGGCTATATATTGTAATATACATACTGTATACATATTTTCATAAAGATACAACAGGAGAAAGTTGGTGCTCATAATTTACTCTAGAGGTAAATTTAAGAAAAATAAGTATTAAATTCCAATGCTCTTTTACTAAGTTCACACATAAAATCAAGCGATGATAATTGATACTTGTATTGACAACCTACCAAGGAAGAAACGATATACTAGAGAATGTCATCAGAAGAAGAGTTGCTTGCAGGTGTCCAAACCAAGCAAATCACTCATAAAAAGAGAAATGGTACTCCTTGAAGATCAATAACCTTTTAGGTTGTGATGTGTCATGACCTAAAGTGAAACTTGACCTAAAGTGAGACTTGCGCTCAACAAAGTGCCAGAAAGCATGTAGCTATTATCTGATGATACTAATCTCCCAAGTGTCCAATCTCCTTTTAAATGTGTTATATATAATTTTGCCCTT